TGAATATTGGGCACTTACTTAGGAGTCTCTTACCAAGCACCTATTTTTTGCATGTTAATAAAAACTGCAGATCATGGATAAAAGGTACCAAAAATGTAATAGCCAAATACTCAAAGTGTTCGTTTAAAATGTACTCTTGTGTACAAAGAAGAAGCCTTTCTGTCTAGTAAGCTGATAGGAATCACTTCTAGTTAAATCTTAAATGCATGTATTACAGTGAAACACTGTTGGACAGTGCTCCATCATCAATCAGTCTGTGTTCTTGAGGACACTATTTTTCAGGACATTTTCTTTAAGAATAAAGCCTTGTGTTGTAATGAATGTGGGCTAACTGATCCCCAAAGCCGTTTGTATTTTTTTCATTTGTATCAGTGTCAGAGTTGAGCTTCTGTAGGAATTTTTTTTTTGCAGTATTTTGTTTTGTAGTCTTCATTATTTCAAGTTCAGCACACAAAACTCTTTGCGCACCCAGAGTCTGCACTGGTTCATTTGTATCCTGTATTTTGTTAACATGTTACCGTGATTGCTAATTTTCATGACAATTGTTATTGTACCGTCAGTGCTTAATGGCAAGGCATCATTATTCAATGCTGGTCAATCAGGCACTAAGACATGTGCAAGACATCAGGCTGAACCCGTATAGATGTCGTGCACTCCCCTGCTAATGAATGCAGTTTTGTAAAAAGGTTTAAACACGGTTGGCATCCTTAATGTAAGGTTTGCAAGAGCTTATTTGGGAACTGCTTTGTGTTTATACGGAGCAGATCTAAACATGTCACAAACAGAGTGAGACCCATTGTGCGTGCGTGAAGCCACCAAGAGGAGAGAATCTTTTTGTTTTTGGTTTGGTTTTGTTTTTTTTTCTGAAATGTGGAAAAGCAGCAGTTTCTGCCATGGCAGGAGTGTGGAACTGATGCGCCAGAGGCATCACTGTTTGGGAATGGAGGTGGGACTTGTTCCCTGAAGCAGCAGTCACGGGGTGCATTGGCGAGCTGATCCCTTCAGCCCAAGGGTGGAGAGCTGGTTCCATTGGGAGCCTCCTCCAGGCCACCTAGTTGGGGTTGAGATCCTGTGAGCAGAAGCCAGGAGAGGCTGTAGGCATTTAGAAAGGAGAAGCAGGAGGAAAGCCAATGGGAGTAGGATGCACTGTGTGCTGGTAGCCCGGCAAGTTTGTCCATCATGTTCTTCCCATGGGTCATTTTATGTTACTCTTGCATCCACTTGACTTTCTGTTTCTCTGTGGTTTTGCACCCAACTGTTTTGGGCTGCTGTCCATGATAAACTGACAGAACTTAGTTTAAAAGTGCGGATCTTGGGTCTCTTCTAACTAAAAGAGGAAGGAGCCCTTGTACTCTTCGTGTTGGCAGTAGGAATGGAGCGATAGACGTGGGTTGGTAACAAGCTCCAACACGCCAGGCTGCAGCAGCACTTGGTGAGAATTCAGTGCGTAAGCTGCACCGACTAAATGGTTAATTCTTCTCGTATCAACAGCACTGTGATTCATAATGTAAACTTGAGGAATCCTTGATGTTTCAGTCACACATTCCTCTTAATTTGGCCATGCATTCTTTTAAAGCTACAGTGTGCTAACTTAATAAAATGCAGCATGCAAATGCACAAGTTTTTGCCTTCAGGCATTTTAGCCATGGATGTTTCAATGGGTGTCTTCTTTCAAGTATATATTCTTTCTTAAATTATTTACCCTGTAAACATGCTTTGCATTTTCAAAGAAGAATCTGGGCTTCCTCATTCACCAGATTTCGTTGAATTTAAGGTGTAATAGAGATAAAAGAGCATCGCCTGCTTCTTGTGAGCATGTTAGCCTTTGGGTTTTTATTTTTTTTTTTGCGGTGAGTGTTAGGCCCCGTTTTCTTCTCCTTTGGTATTCTGCCTCCTTCCCCCACATTACATCCCTCGATGCTTCGCCTCGAGCAATGCCCACTGGCAGTGTCTGCCCGCGACAGCACTACAGGCGGCTCCACAGATGGGTCCTGCCAATGCCAACCATTGTTCCTCCGCTGGAGCGGCCCTTGCTGCGCCCCGTGGCGCTCAGAGCCCTTTTCCTCCCCAGTTCGTGCTCTGCTCTGTGGGGTTGCCCTTGCCCGTGGGCTCTGAGGCCCCAAAGGGCCAACACCCGGAGCTGGCGTCAGCCGCGCGGGCGGCAGGCCCCGGAGTCGCCCTCCAACATGGGCCCTGCGCTCGGGCCTGCGCAGGACGGCCCTGCCCTGCCCAGCCCCGCTCCACCACAGCGCGTTCCCTTCCACACGCTGGAACATAAAACAGTAAAGTCAAACAGTCACTGCTACTCTTTTTTATTTTTTTTTCAAATGAATCTTTAACTGTGAGCTTGAATATTAAAAGTATATAATGCTTCAGCGTAGGAGTCTGTTGATAACAGCCATCCTATTTCATGATTAATTTGTTCCTTTTAATATGATATTCTTTTGCTGCACCGCGCAGACTAATTCAGCTTCCTAGAAATGGGACTTTGATATGTGTTTCCTAGATTCGCACCCTAAGTGAACCTTCAATTAGCAGATACAGGTGGCAGCGGCCCTCGCTCCGTGTTCCCTTGGCAAGGGTTTTGGAGACATGGACACTGATTCAATAATCTTGCAATCGCCTGTATACTGCCAGAATATTAAAAATAAAGCGTTTAGAGGCTGGGCTTTATTTTTTATTTTTTTCTCCAGTTTTAAAGCTCAGCTGATGAAATGATTTTCACTGGGCCAGAGGTAGGAGAAGCTGATTTAAACACTCTGTATGTTATGTGTGCCTTTGCCTAACTATGTGCTAGATTAAGGGAGTTTCACTCACACTTAATCCTTTGTAAATTAGCATTATGGATGCCTTGGGGCCCACATCCCACAAATAAAATGGTTGTCAAGCCAGCTGCACTGTGTATTACTTAAGGCTGAATGTTTTAAGAGTTTTCATGCTTTTAATCTATTTCACTGCTGAGTTTCAATTTCGTTGAGTGTCTTTGCAGGAGTGATGAGGGTGAGTGAGTAAATACATATTCTGGTTTTCATGCAGTGGCTTGGGCAATTCGTTTGTTATCAGGTGTTTGGCAGAGAATGTCACACCTTGCCACAAAAGAGACGCTTGTAAGTTCAGGTGTTAAATTGAAGTGCAAACCAACAAGAACCAAGAGCCTTCAATTACCTTTAGTTTTGAGCGTGTTACACTTTTTTTTTAAGAGTGAGAAACATCCCTCCCTCCTCCTCATCCTTTTGGCAGAGTAAATATTGCCTGTTAAGTTTGAATTAGCTGTCATCGCAAAAGAATTAATGCTGTGGTTGAGCCTTTCTAGTGAGGAAGGGAAAAATAAACGAGACAGATCTTAGTTGAGCTTTAAGTGATAAATGAGGACAAAGCAGCCCATTCATCTCCTGCTAGGAAAGTGGACACAAACACTAAAGCAGTTTTGCGGAAGACGTGTCAGCAAATGTGATCATTTTGTAACCTGTCAGGAGGATAGAGAGCCAGTCCTTTTAGAGCATCGCGGGAGAGGGGGGCTGCTGCTGTGACAGTTTTCATCCATCCATTTACTTCTTTTTCCTTAGGAGGGGGATAAGCCAGGAGAGAGCTGGAGTTGGTTAAAACTGCATTTTTCTTCTACTTTCCAATATAATTTATATATACATAAATATGTATATCCACCCCCATCCAAATGAAAAACATTTACCAGCGAAAACTCCCCTCTGCTCTCTGGAGATTATTTTTTTTTAAGTTTTATTTTTATTTCTTCTCTCATTTGCAGTATGAAATACACTCATTTTAACACATTATATTCCTTGTCTTCGAGTTTATACTTGATTTGACATTTCACAAAATGCAATTTCACCTCATTATGCTATTGTTTGGTTGGTAAAAGATCTGGGGTTTTGGGTTGTTTTTTGCTTTTTCAGAAACAAATTTTTTAAAAAAGAATAAAAAATATATATTTTTAGAGGGGATATCTTTTTGCTTTGTTTTGTTTTTGCTGTATCTCTATAATTCTGATGTTTTGCCTCATGGATCAATTTATTTTGCAAAAGTTCCTGCATTATGGAGATGAGAATATTATTTATTTCCCTTCTGTGAGAATGGAAATGGCAAATTCTTACAGTCTAAAATCCTTCTGTAAAATTTAGCAAATTTTAATGTTTGATGGTTTATCCATTATAATTGATATTTAATTTCAAACAAAATCTGAAATAATGTGGCATCCAATTTTAGAAGTAGGGAGTCCTTGCAACAAATGATTGACCAATATCAGGAGTTTCAACTTCTGGCATCTTTGTATTATTTCTGATTTCCATTTTTTTATACTTCATAGTAAATGTAATGTTTCCCTATTACCATAAGTGAAGGTATGCTACAGAGGCAGGAGAGGCTTTTACAACATAAGCTTCACAGTTTGACACTTGCTTCCTTATATCATCCTTTTCTTCATAACTATCTTTTATACTTTTCCCTTGGTATTTCAGTACAAGTAAGTATCTCATTGACATGTGTTTCCTTGGAATCTTGTACCTTAATAGTAAAATCCCTTGAAAATTAATATTTTTTTCTCTGTTCGGATTAAAAAAAAAAAAAGCTGTGAAGACTTCAGGATGGCTTAGAAATATAATAGTGTGTACTATTTTAGCCCACCATGCATACCTTGGATTGTATCAACTGAGGACTAATTATTTATTTTGTCTTAGAAAGTAAATAATTAGTTGTAATATGATGGATTTCAATTATTCATTCAATATATGTATGTGCACACTATTAGGAAAAGTATAATTCTTTCCTAGAAGCGAAAGTCAGATCTAATAGCTATATGAAAAAATATTTGGAAGTACTGGAAAATTAAAAGTATAAAAAAGCCAAGATGTGTAGAATGGTATAGAAAGCACTCAGCTTGTGAGCATATCTCTTTTCTCCAAGACATTTTGGGGTGCCTCTTTTTATTGTTTTATAAATATTCTGCTGTTTTCATTGCATTTTTTTTCTCTTCTGTGTTTTTTCAGGATTATCCAAAACCGGATCCTGATGGTTGTCCTGGCGGTCATCATCATCTTCACCATCGTGGTGGCTATTTACTGCTCTGTCAGGGGACAGTGATATCTTTGTTCTTCAGTAAGCAGCAACAAACTGCTTGTTCTGAGTAATTAAGACAAAGTGGTCACATGCATCATTCTCCTGCACTGACAGAGCCTCCCTCTCTTTTCCACTGCTCAACTCAGGTGCAAGTGCTGTAAATTATTTTCTATTATTGATGGCATAGCTGGCATATGGAGTTGATTATTTTTTCTCACACTCTGTGTCTTTATCTCTGTGGTTTTGGAATCTTAATATTTCTTTGGGGGAGGGCTTGTTCCGGTGTGAAAAGATAAAACTTAACAGACTGGATGCTCGTCAGGCTCTACCCCAGGCGATTAGTATGTAGGTTGCAAGAGTTTAGAGGAGGAAGAGGGGTCTTTGCGCTTTCCTTGTGCTATGCAGGGTGTATGAATATCAAGCAGTAGCTGACCTTCTGTGATAGAGAATATAAGTAAAGCAGAGACCAAATGATGTAGAAAGTGAACCTGTCTCCTGTGACTACCTCCCAATCATGAATCATCGTAATAGATGTAACCTGGCCAAGAGCAGTAGCTAGTTTTAAAAGGAGGGGAGTCTTAAGAAGGTGTTTCCTATCTGATGTGAATCCAGTGCTTTATTTAACACTTTTTATTTCACAAAGTTTTCTTTTCTGTTTTTGTCAGGATCATGATAATGATACTTGCATCACTTGCCCAAAATATAATTGTGACCACGGTCCATCTGTTGAACCTGTTTCAAATCTTCCAGTGTTGATATATGTACTGATAAATGTAAACAGTAGGCCTTTATTAAAGATGTATAAAAATACTTATCTATTCATTGCCGATTGAAAAGAGATCCTAAGTCATGGTTCAGTGACAAATACATATGATGATAGTGCATTAAGAAAAAAGAAAAAAAATAGATTTTGCATATTGGCCTGAATATGTTGGAATCACGTGTTGAAAATATTTTTAATGAATTTTATTCAGATGTGACATTAAGCTTTTTAAAGAGAGACTGTAAAAATGTTAATTTATGCATGCTTTTAACTGATATAATGTATTGAATTTTCATCTGCTAGAATACTTGTGTGTAAATGAGGTGTGTTTTTCTTTTCCTATTGGCTCTGCCTCTCCAGTGGACATGTCTAGGTCATTTAGCTTATAATTAAGCTTATAACTCCAGCAAAGGTCGTTTTCTGGTGATCTAGGGAAGTAATTCCCATGATAACTGTTCCATTCATTATGTAATCCCTTACAAATATTACAAATTGAGAGAGATTTCTATGCCCTTCCACTGAAATATAAGCCATAAAGCCTTTGACAGAAGATGTTCACAGAAACAAAAAGCAGGTGGGTGCCAGACCCCTCCAAAAGAAGGTAGAAGTCGAGCACCATCTTCTCCTGCATCTTTTAGGGCTCGGGGGGGTTCATCGTCCCTGCGATCTCTGCTGGCTTGTAGGGCTGGTTCTGCACACGTGGTAGCCACGTCCCTTGTCTTCTCTGCAGGGAAATGACTGGCAGGATCTTGATGCTGATGCCACAGAAAAGTCTCCTAAACACGGCAATAAACCTAGGATGGGGGGATCCAAAAGACAAATGAAACAAGCAGAGGCACTTGTGGCCATGTCTTGAGTTTCATGCAACTCGCGACTGGTTCCAAAGGGGTTTCCGTGCCAGGACCTCCTCATGCCCATGACTGTAGAGCTGTGCAGGGGCAGAAGTTCCTGATCCAAACCCGTGGTCTTGCCCATTGCGCTCAGCCCAGCCAGCCCTGCATGGCCACGGGAGCAGGACAGACGTGGCCACCTGCAAGTCTGTGCCCGGGCGAGATGTCCTTGCACGAGGTCCGTGGTGCTCTGCGGAGCCGGGAGCACGCGGCGCCTAGCGCGGGGGCTGGCTGACCTTTGCCTGCAACGTGCATCCAAATGAAGCACTTAGCGCTCGGCGAACAGCGCCGGCCATTAGCTTCGAGTGATGGCACGGGGCTGAGTTCAGGCAAATTAGGAGGAAGCCTGCCGGCATTAGGAGGTATTTATCCCAGGCAAATGAGGAGATGCATGTTTGCAAAGCGCAAAACGGACGAGGAGCAAATCTTAAGCACCGGCTGTTGCCTAGACGTTCTCCGTGTTGCCTCAATAATTTAGCTATCATGGGGATTGATTCATGACTACTGATCTTACCAGTGACCTCTGACTGGGTTTTGCCCTCGATCTAGCCACCTGCTGGAGTCAGCAAAAAGCTGAAAGGACGCGAGTTTTCCTTATCCCAGTGTAAATCTGGGGCAGAGTGTCACATCACATACGAGCCACTCAGATGGGAACATGGGAGCGATGCTGCCACACAAAGCCTTCATCTTCACTTTTGATGAGCCTGCCATGGCTGTGGAGCTCGTGATACCCTGGTCGTAACTTCTCCCTGCTGCTTCGTGTGCTCCCCACACGGGACATCCTGCTCGAGCACAAAGTAGGGTCTTCAGATGCAAGGTTGCTGCTCTGCCTCCCATTTACCCCCATCTCATGGAGCCCCGTCAAGCAGACGCGTTTCTGTGGGACGTGGGTCCAGAGCAGAGCCGGAGGCAGCTCAATGTGAGCAGCAAAATACCCCTGGGAAGGGCAAAAACCCCTGCTCGTCCCCCGGCCGCGGTGACCCCATGGATGCTGCGGGCCTGGAAGGATCCAAGCACATGGGCACCCCAGCAAGGGGGACGTTTCCCGCCTCTCCGCCAGCCTTTGTTGGGAAGCGGCAAATTAAAGCCCGCACGTGCGGTGCTGCGTGCCCATGTCCTCCCCGCTAGCCAGCTCCGCTCGCGGAATAAATAAACTAATTCGATGCTGATGCAAAATCAAAAGCAATTTAATTAAAGACTCTTAAGTTTTAAAGGGTTTTAAATGCTATACGTTTTGGGGGAATATCAGAAAATGCAGCTTGACTGACGTCAGTTCCCATCTCTGGGATGGGAGGCCATTTGCTATTCTGTTTAAGGCAGCCTGGATTGTCTTATTTTGGAGCCAGCTTGGTGGGGGGTTTTCTTTGCTGCTGCTTCAGAGCTCTGAGCTTCAAAGGCTGAAATTAATGGTGAACAAAATTGTGCGGCTCTGACCATCCCATGCGGGGCAAACCCATCGAGGGTTATCATTAAGTAAAGAAATAAAGAAAAAAAAAAACTGCCAGTTCCAAAAAAAAAAAAAAAAAGCTCATCAGATAATGACCTCTGTGATTGGGTTTTCATTACCAAACAGCATCCAGAGATCATCTGCCCCATAGAAAAAAAAAAAAAAGAAAAAAGAAAGAAAGAAAGAAAAGAAAAAGAAAGAAAAAGCAACTGTGTCTCTCTCTCTTTTTCTCTCTCTCTCGCTCTCTCCTTTTTTTTTTTTTTGCACATCTTTTCTTTAAACCTGTCAGATCATTTCAGTATTTCAAATCCGAGGAAAACAGCCTGCCTGCTGCTGTATTTGAAGTTGTAATGGTGTCAAAAAGTCACGACTGACTGACAGCCGTCAGTCCCAGAGGAGCTCATTAAATCATAAAAACTTGACAAGGAAATAATTGAGCATCACTGGCAACTTGGCGCCTGTTTAGACGTTTTTATTTTCTTTCATTATTAGTCCCCACCATTACGTTCATTAACAAATTGCATTAAACAACTGTTAAGGGCTAATGATTTGTTTATCGCTTTTTTTATTATTATTATTATTTAAACATTAGCTGCGTCATGTGGTACCTCAGCAGCCTCATACTATCATCTGACTGAATATTTTTCCACTCAGAGCTCTGGGTACTGCCGGAATATGAAATAGATTATTCATTACCCTCCTCTTTGCCACTGATTTGGTTTCATGTAGCGTCTTCCACAGAGAAAGATGAAAACTTGTCAAAAATAGGTTATATCTTATTCTAAGGGCAACAATAGCAGCAGGTACAGGCACACTTTAATATTTAATTAAGGTTGATGTTAACCCCTTTAAATGACTTTAGCTGTGAGTTATATTCAAGTGCAGAAGAAGAAAATAATTGTACTTAATTTGCAAACTGTACAGCAGGCATTCATCTTCGAGTTACTAGCAAATTTATAGAATAATTTTAAATAATGAAATTTCCAATCATAAATATTTATATCCCCCTTTTTTTTTGATGTGGTCGTAAATTAACTGCTTTCACACACCTCCTAAATAAAAAAAAAAAAAAAGAAAAGAAAAAAAAATCCATGTCCTTTTTTGTTTGTTTGTTTTGAACTGCATCGTTCACGATTCAAAATCTGGTTAGGACTTTGTGGGGGGGAAAGAGCTACATGTGAATCCCCAGTAAAGTTGTTAGCTGCGGTAACTGCTTACACGACTGTGATTCTGGCAACTTGACAGCTCATAACAAACTTAGGGAGGATGTGGGCTGAGGCTTTCTTTTGGGGGGGACAGTGGCGTTTGGGGGCATTTTGGGGCTTTTGTATGAAACCATGGTTTGTTTTCAAGCAGATAAAACAAACTGCTACTTTATATAGGGAAAATATTTATTTTTATGTGTATTTGCTATGTATATTTTCAATTGTGGGTTGTAAATAATCCTGTCACTGTAGGGGGAAAAAAAAAACTTTAGTGGAATCTGAAGATGGTAAAAAAGTCAATTTCTGCAGTACTTTACGCTCCCTCTGCTTTATAGTAATCAGTGTTTGATGTCTCCTTATCCCGTGTCGCTGCCCGTGCTACACGCGCAGGGCCACGAGGCAGCGCTTACGGCGCGTCCCTGCGCGGCGACGGCCACCGCGGCGCCGTGACGTCTAACGAGACGTCGCGACGTCAACGCAGCCAAGTTGGGCCTGCTCTCCGGCGCGTCCATGGGATAATTTGTCCCTTCTGCCGTCACGTGGGCCGCGAGACGTGAAGCGGGTGAATATTTTATGGACCGGCGGCGGTTATTGCCGCGAGCCCGGAGGAGCCGCGGTGTTTCGCCCACCGGTAGGTGCCCTTGGTGCCGCTCTCCAGGGCTGGGCCCGGGCGCTCAGCGCGCAGGACGTGGGCCACGCTCGGCCCAGAACGGGAGGCAAAGGGGCATGTTGAGAAACGCTTTAGCATCCTCAACTGCCATGTTTTATTTGTCACACATAAATAATGAAGGCATCTACGGGAGAGGAAGGGAGGAAAAAACCAGAGCTTATGTACTGAGACGCAGTGAACTTGTGCACTCTTCATCCCTTCATCCAAACAACTGCCTTTGGCGTGAATAACAGCTTGGCTGATGCGGAGCGCGGT